CGGCCGTCGGGGGCGGTGGCGGCGATGGGGGCTCTCCCGGCGTTGCTGGGGGCCGCCTTGCTGTGGGCCGGCGCCGGGGCTCTCGTCAACCTCAAGTACTCGGTGGAGGAGGAGCAGCGGGCCGGCACGGTGATCGCCAACGTCGCCAAGGACGCCCGGGACGCCGGTTTCGTGCTGGACCCCCGGCAGCCCGCTGCCTTCCGGGTGGTCTCCAACTCGGCCCCCCACTTGGTGGACATCAGCCCCGGGTCGGGGCTGCTGGTGACCAAGCAGAAGATCGACCGGGACCTGCTGTGCCGGCAGAGCCCCAAGTGCATCATCTCACTGGAGGTGATGTCCAGCTCCATGGAGATCTGCGTGATCAAGCTGGAGATCAAGGACCTCAACGACAACGCGCCCAGCTTCCCCACTGACCAGATCGAGCTGGAAATCTCGGAGACGGCCAGTCCCGGCACCCGGGTGCCACTGGAGAGTGCCTACGACCCGGACTCGGGCAGTTTTGGTGTGCAGAGCTATGAGATCACCCCCAATGACCTCTTCGGGCTGGAGACCAAGACGCGGGGCGATGGGTCCCGCTTTGCCGAGCTGGTGGTGGAGAAGAGCCTGGACCGCGAGACCCAGTCCCACTACAGCTACGTGATCACGGCACTGGATGGTGGTGACCCGCCCAACTTCGGCACGGTGGAGCTGAGCATCCGCGTCATCGACTCCAATGACAACAACCCACTCTTTGAGGAGCCGGCCTACACCGTCAGCGTGCCTGAAAATGCTCCGCCAGGTACACCGGTCATCCGCCTCAACGCCTCTGACCCGGACGAGGGCACCAATGGCCAGGTCCTCTATTCCTTCCACAGCTACGTCTCCGAGCGGGCCCGGGAGCTCTTCCAGATTGACCCCCAGAGCGGCCTCATCACAGTGAGCGGTGCCATCGACTACGAGGAGGGTCACGTCTATGAGCTGGACGTGCAGGCCAAGGACTTGGGGCCTAACTCCATCCCTGCCCATTGCAAAGTGACTATCAGCGTCCAGGATGCCAACGACAACCCGCCCCTCATCAACCTGCTCTCTGTCAACAGTGAGCTGGTGGAGGTGAGCGAGAACGCCCCGCCAGGGTACGTCATCGCCCTTGTGCGGGTCTCGGATCGTGACTCTGGGGCTAACGGGCGGGTGCAGTGCAAGCTCCTGGGCAATGTGCCTTTTCGGCTCCAGGAGTATGAGAGCTTCTCCACCATCCTGGTGGACGGGCGGCTGGACCGGGAACAGAGGGACCAGTACAACCTCACCATCCAGGCCAAGGACAATGGCGTCCCCTCCCTGCAGGCCACCAAGTCCTTCACTGTCAAGATCACGGATGAGAATGACAACCATCCCCACTTCTCCAAGCCCTATTACCAGGTCATTGTGCAGGAGAACAACACCCCGGGGGCCTACCTCCTCTCAGTCTCAGCCAGGGACCCTGACCTGGGCCTCAATGGCAGTGTCTCCTACCAGATTGTGCCCTCCCAAGTTAGGGACATGCCTGTCTTCACCTATGTCTCCATCAACCCCAACTCCGGAGATATCTATGCTCTGAGGTCCTTCAATCATGAACAGACGAAGGCCTTTGAGTTCAAGGTCTTGGCAAAAGACGGGGGTAATCCCTCTCTGCAGAGCAATGCCACCGTCAGGGTGATTGTCCTGGATGTCAATGACAACACCCCTGTGATCACGGCCCCGCCGCTGGTCAACGGGACCGCGGAGGTGTACATCCCCAGGAACGCGGGGGTCGGCTACTTGGTGACAGTGGTCAAGGCAGACGACTACGATGAGGGTGAAAATGGCAGACTTTCCTACGAAATGGTGGAAGGAGACAGAGGATTTTTTGAGATAGACCAGGTCAATGGAGAGATAAGGACCACCAGAGCCTTTGGGGAGAATGCAAAGACAGCCTACGAGCTGATCGTGGTGGCTCACGACCATGGGAAAACATCTCTCTCGGCTTCTGCCTTGATTTTGATATACCTGTCTCCAGCCCTGGATGCCCAGGAGTCCATAGGATCTGTTAACCTCTCCCTGATTTTCATTATTGCTCTGGGGTCTATCGCAGCCATTCTTTTTGTCACCATGATCTTCGTGGCAGTCAAGTGCAAAAGGGATAACAAGGAAATCAGGACCTACAACTGCAGGTAAAGACATCTTTGTTTCTGTGCACCTGCCGGGTCTGCTTTGATTTTTGCTGTCACAGTTACTTTTCCATTTGCTGCTGTATCCCTGGGGGGTGGTGGTGTTACATTTGCTTTGGGAACAAAAGTGCGGTTCGCGTCCCTCTTAAGGAAATTTCCTGCGAAGCTTAAAAAAATCGTTCTCTGGGAGAAGCACAGAAATCTGTGCCGAGTAACGAATCGACTTAATTGTGCGGCTTGACAATCTGTTGCAGCATCCCTGATTTTATGCGCTCCGTCGCAGAAAGGGGGTGAGAACAGTTTTCCAGCAGCATGGCTGGTTCCCGCGGGCAGCCCCCGGTCCCCAGCGCAGCTCCCCAGTGCTTGTGAGGGGGGAACACCCCCCTCCACACACACACACACACACACACACACCCCCTCAGCCCACCGCAGCATCCCCGCAGCAGACGGGGCGAGCGGCCGCGGTGGCATCCGTAAGCCCTCGCTCGCCGTTCAAAAGAGCTATTGTGCGCCCGATGCGGCTCCTCGCCACGGCTGACGATGGAGCCAACTGGATAAAATAGTGGTGAAAATCACCCGGTTCCCCCCGATACGCTGCTCCAGCACCCGGCGCGGGCGGTTGGGCTGGGAGCGATGGGGCGAGGGAGGGTTTTTTTTGCGGCGCTGTGTTATTTTGCCCTGGCTGGAGGCGTGCTCCTGGGTCCGAAATGCCGGAGGGGAGGTCAGCCCCGCGCCCGGAGCCGCTGAAAGGCTGATAGGGGAAATCCAGTCCCCTGAATATGTAACAGCCCGGCGATTATTGTCTCTCTTTTACTATTCTCTGTGTTACACAAGTTAGGAGACAAATGCTAACCACACATGAATATCAATCAGATGCCATAAAAGAGCAGCTGCAATGCCTCATAAATGGTTTAATCCTGTTACTAGTGAAATAGCCATGACTTCTCCATTCCTTCGGCACCGAGTCGTTTCAGAGGGGAGGGATGGAAATTAATTTTGCTCTACCTTGGAAACGCACGCTCGCCCCCGGCAATTCTGTGGCGCAGAGGGATGTGCAGTCTTTAAAGTTTTATTTACGCAGAAATAATGCCGGAGAGTTTGGGTTTTATACCCCGTTTTCACAGCGTAAAGTGCGTTTATAAGCCTTTTTGCTCGATGGGGGAAAAATCATCTGCAAATAAAGGTCGGTCTGTGCTGTATTATGGGATGTCTAGCTTCAAGTGAAAGCTCCTACACCAGATTTCTTGCCAGCTCGGCCCATTAGAAGAGAATAGGACCTGAATGGATAAAAAACACGTTGTGGCGGTGCCCCTAACAGCTTCACACATATGTATAAGCCCTGGGTTTACTGTGACGGCTTAGGGATTAATGAAGTGCAGTTTAATTAAATAATTGGTCAATAGAGAAAGGACAGCAAAATGAATGCCTGCAGGAAATAATTGGGCTCTCGCATTGCCAAACTTAAACATTTAGGTAAACAAAACAATTAAAGCTTCATCAAGCATTGTTAGACGAGTCAGCAGCATATAGATTGTTGGCACAACAGAAATCCCTGCCTTCCCCTGATGTATTTGCACGCTCAGGGGGATGCAGGGGCTGTTATCAGTGTGCATCTGAGCAGGAGAAGTCAGCTGCAGAGGTAGAGCAGCGCCAGGTAGGCTCAGCAGCGGCTTATGACCATGGGGCACCCTCTCCCCACGCTGGGTGCGTGCCTTTAGGCTTTGCAGTGCCTTATTTTAGATGTTCTGGAGAGTTTTCATAGCATGTGTTAATTTATGAGGCACATAAGGTTATATGAGAGCTGTTCGACTTGGTGGCATTTTCATGCTCAGGCAATTAGCTTTCTGGAACAGGAATATTTGTCCAATATTTGCCTTTCTAGATAAATTGTATTATTTATTCATCCCATTATTTCTGTTGCAGCTATTGGATTTTTTTGTCTTTCTTTTTCTTTTTGTTTTTTTCTTTTATTTTTTTTAATGCTGTTACCGTAACAAGAAGAGGAGCAAAGTCCCGACTCTAAAATGTGTATTTCTAACTGTGGGTAGGATTTGATGAGCTTCCCTGGGAAATACCGAGCTGCCTAGTGCTGTGCATGTACAAATTCATCTGTGGGGCATTGGCTGGGGCTGTGTTGCTCCCTGGGGAAAGAGGAGCCACAGTCACTCTGAGCATAGCCAGTTAATGCAAGGTGCAGTCATATTTGTCATTATTTGGTCGAGTGGTGTTTTATGGTAACTTTTTTCCTCCAGTGTTTTTGCAGAAGGCAAACAAGGCACTTCATCAGTTCATTCTTTTGGCAGGTGGGAAGCAAAGAGGGAAAAGAAAGGCAGAGAAAAAAAGGCATGCAGTAAAAAAAAAAAAAGGTCAAAAAGGATCATTTCTCTTTGCAAAACACAGTTGTTGTTCTCCAGTTTCTAGAAGGCGAAAGCATTTCCCAGCAGAAAGGGGTGTGCATGTCGGGGGGGTGAGGGAGGAATAGGATGTGGTTGGAGAAAAGATTTCAAGTTATCAGGTATTATCAGGAGATAGTCAAAACACCAGCAATTTGGATAAAGCATTAATAAACAAACAGCCTTTGGAGTGTGAGAGAATAGAGCTTGCCAGCTAGGACTGCTTCTGGGTCTGCTTTATTTACTGCTATGGAAAATGAACTGGGAAAAAAATCTGCTATTCATTTTGAATTTTCATTACAGGGACCAAATTAAATCACTTTTAAAATCCTTATTATGCATGGAAATGAATGCAGGTACCCTTTTCAGTTCATGGATTTTAACATCTCCATTTTTCTCTTCTGCAGGCTGGACTTTACTCCTAGTAACTAAATATCAGCAATTACAAACACTACAAAAAACCAGGGGCATTATTCCTTCCCATTATTTTTCATATTTGACCTGAAAGCATTATACATATGAAAATAAGCTAAAGACCGTGTCATGCCACCAGACCCGAAACATGACGTAATGTGCATGACTAAGAAGCCTACATGGAGATGGGGGCCAAGCCCTCCGGGTTTCTGCCTGTTATTTAGCGGGGCAGGGTTCGGGATGCTCTCAGCTATTCATTTTCATTCTGTCCCCCAGAATTGCAGAATACTCCTACGGGCATCAAAAGAAATCAAGCAAGAAGAAGAAAATCAGCAAGAATGATATCCGCCTGGTACCGCGGGATGTGGAAGAAACGGATAAAATGAACGTTGTGAGCTGCTCCTCTCTCACTTCATCCCTCAACTACTTCGACTACCACCAGCAGACCCTGCCGCTGGGCTGCCGCCGCTCCGAGAGCACCTTCCTCAACGTGGAGAGCCAGAACAACAGGAACACCGGCTCCAACCACATTTACCATCACACCTTCACGGGGCAGAGCCCCCAGCAGCCCGACCTCATCATCAACGGGATGCCGCTGCCAGAGGTGAGTGCGGGCAGCCCGTGCCCCTGGGACATCAGTAATGGGTTTGCACATGGACCGCGGCCTGCGGGTCTGTTGGTGTAAGTGCTGCCGAAACGTCATGTTGAGAGAACAGGCAGTGGCGGTTTCCGTGTGTTGGACATCCCCGGATGAGGTAGTGATGGAGGACGGGCAGGGCGGAGCGGCGGGCACCCACCTTGCAGGTTCTGGGGCAGCCCTGACACATGGTGAGGGGTGGCTGTTTCACCCCCAGACACTGCAGAGACCCTCAGAAATGCCCAGGCAGGGATGCCGGCACGCGTGGGCCAGGCCAGGCTGCCTCCGTGCTGCCGGGAGCCTGGGAGGTGGCAGCTTTGCAAGTGGATTTTAAGTGCGGTGATGCTCGAGGGAGGAGATGCTCGTTGCCTTCACAGGAGTTTTTTAAAAGGTTGTTGAAAGCGGTGCTGGCGGCTGTTGCTCTGGAGGCAGCGGGTCGTGCTGGGGATGCCGGCAGCGCAGGATGCCGTGCCGTGACCGCCCGCACGCCTGGCCCGGTGCCGTCCCCTGGCCGTGCAGGACGGGCATATGCCGGCTGGCGTGGGAGGGATGCGTCGTACCTGCCGAAGGCAGGGAAAGGGGCTGCTCCGATCCACGTCATCCTCATCAGGTTCTTCTAATTCATCGGCTTTCCTGTACATCACAGGCATCATTTAATGTTGCTTGTTTGTCTCTCTTTGAATTATTGTTTGGTATTAAGCAAAGCAATCAAAGGTTTGTCATGTTTCCTGCTTTGAACAGAATAACAAAGCTGAAAAAGCAGCTGAAATATTTATGGCTTGCTCTGTTTTGCGTTCAGTGTGCTGGTGTAAATGCAAAATGATGCTGCTGAAGACAGTGGATCTGCTTCAGTTTTATACTTGCGCTATGGAGAGCAGAGCCTCTAAGAGAGAGTCTGCAGGGCTGCTGGAGAGGACTGGTGCCGGCGGGCCTGATCCTGCAGCTCTTGTATTGGCAAAATGCTTGTTGAACCCTGGTGTTTAACCTCCACTAAGGCTGCAGAACAAGCTCCTGAGAGGTCACGTATTGGTGTCAGCCCAGTTTTGAGGTGCTCCCAGCCCAACTGCTGGTCACTCAAATGACCACTTCAATGACCGGACGGTCGAGAGGGGTTTGTCAGGATCTCCTCCACAGATCGTGGGCGCTTAGCCCTCTTCTGCCCAGCCTGAGTTTTGAACCTCTCTCGCCCTCGCCTGTGCAGGCTCCTCGCCGTACGGCATTGCCTTCTCAGGGTTACCCGCTGAGATGCTGTGAGGAGGCAACTTCTGCACAGGTGCACCAGCACAGCCCAGTGCAGCCGTCTGTGCCTGCGGGGCTGGGAGCTCCCCCTGCATCTGGGAAGGTACAGCGGGAGCAGCTCAGTGCTGGTCCAGAGAATTAAACCTCGATTTAATGTCTGATGTTCATATAAAGACTGTAATAGAGTTTCTCAGCAATATGTGAATAGAAATGACCTGGATATAAGCACTCATATATTCTACTTGCATGTATCCAGCCACAGAGCTGAGCGGGCTCTGCTCCTTCCAGATGCCCCGATGGAGAGAGGCAGGGACTTTGCATCTGAGTCTGAGTCAGAGCGGTTTGAGATAAGTCTCTCTCTGGTTAAATAAGGCAGAGGAGCTGCTACTAAATCCACCTGCACTTTGCGCTGTGCCTGGGCAGGCCGGGAGCAGGAAACACCACCATCACATCAATGCTCAGATTTGCCTGTGCTCTTTGCTGAGTCCCAGCTGGGGCTCAGGGTGCTGCCTGGGGGGGTGCATCCTAAGGTTGTGGGTGACCATCATTGCTGGGATGCTGGGGGCAGTGGTCCCTGAGGAATCCCTGCCTTTCTGGAGCGGTCTCCTTTGGAGAGGGGTCTCAAGCACATCTCTGGCTGGTGCCTTGCTACAGGCATCAAGCAGAGGAGCACCCTGTCAGCCTGTGATTCACTGCCACAGACAAAATTCAGTCATAAAATCCATCACGTGTTGGCATTAGCCAGAAGTGCGCGCCGTCAGTGAGAGGTCTGTGGTGCTGGGAAGGAGGGAAGGACCATCGGGAACATCATAGTGCAGCTGATAAAGTTAACAGGCAGCTGCAGGCAGAAGACCACATTGCCCGTGTTCCTCCTGGACGTAGCGGTTAGCCTGGGGTTGGGTGGCACGTGCTCTCCAAAGACTCCCACCACCTTGCGCACCCTCATGTGAGGCAGCCGGGACTGTTGTTGCTTCTCCGTGTTCCTCCAGCTCGCCTCATTTCCCCATCACTCGTGCAGGTGGGATGCACTGCAAAGAGCTGGTATCTTGCCTGGAGAAATAAACGTGTCTCTTGTAATGAGTGCCATGAAGTGTCAGCTTAAAACATGCCCTCCAGCAGCCCTGCAAGCGCGCAGGAGGGCAGCTGGTGGCTCTTCAGTCCTGCTAAGGGACCAGCAGCTCGTGGGTGAGTGCTCTCGGGGAGAGCAGCATGTCCTGACAGGGATCTGCTCGCTCCCTGGGGATGCTTTTGGACAAAAGGGCAGGGCCAGGGCACGGGGAGGAGAAATCTCAACTGGAAGTTGCTTAAAAGTTTGCTTTAGGGTGGGAATTTTTATGTTTTTTGGCAGAGTCCCAGTATTATGCTTCCAGCTGTTGCAAGGGAAGTTATCTTGCTGGCGGTGTGGGTTCTACTGGCTCCTAAAAATCCAGGTGGCCCCTGAGAGTGAGTAGGTTCAGTGGTGACTAGAGTGACATCCCTGTCCTGGCACACAGGGTGACACAGAAACTCCATGAAAGGTGCTTCCACGGGGGAGCATCGCAGCCTCATACCCACCATAGCCTGTCGGTGCCTTAGCAGGTGTTGCGGTGTGATGATATGCCTTTGAAGTGTGCTATTGGTACACCTCCAGGTGGTGACGATTTAATAAATACAATTCCTGCCCAGGCTTTCCAGAGCCAAGCCATTCCCTTCAGTGCATCCAGCGGGACTTTGTCTGGGCTGGTTTGCATCACCTCCAGTGACGAGGCTGCCGGCATTTCCCCTGGGAGCCTTTAGGAGGTGTCAGCGTTGGGAAGATATTGCTGCTGCTCCACCTAGGAGTGACTTTTCCTGATGGGAAGGCAAAGCATCCGTTGATAAAAGATAAAATACAGAGGTAAACGTGTCGCTGATGGTGTCACTTAGCATATGATGGTTGTGGCTGGGAGTAAGTGCTTGCCTCTGCAGACACGCGCTGTCCTGGCAGCGGTGTGTTTCCAATGTAGCTGGTCTTTAATGTGAAGCTCATTTACTTTAACAGTCAGGAACCTTGAAATAAAAGTCCCCAAGGATGGGTTGTTTGTGGAGCTTCCGGAAATGTTTCCTCCCGCGCCGCAGCGGTATGCACAGTGGCAGGTCTCGGGGCTGGCGGTGCCGTGCTGGTGGTCATTTGGTTCCTTGGTGCTCCTCAGCTTTCCCCACTGATCCAGAAAGGATTAAAGAGTGGGGGCTGTAAACCCACTCTGAGGATGCAAAAGAAGTTTGAGACAACCCTTGAAAAGCTTTTCCCCTTGGGTGGGGGCCGGGCTCAGCTGCCAGCTCAGTTTGTGACAGGGCACAGCTGCCAAGAGAGCATCGGGAGGTGGCGGGGGATGTCCCGGGGGAGTTCAGGACATGCAGTGGTCCTTTGGGTGCTGGGGTACCACTTGGGGACCCCTGCCCATGGCCTTTTAGCATCCTTGTGACTGTAAGCAGCAATGGCAAAAAGCATTTGTGAGCAGCTCTGGTGATCGTGGCTGACAGTGGGAGGCTTGGCCCCCATTAGTATTTCAACTTGTTTTGCAGGAGGGCAAGTGGGACATGTTGGAGCTGCAAGGGCATTGCCGGTCAGAGGCTTTGCTGCTGCCGAGGGCTTTTTTTTTTTCCTTCCTACTGAGCTGGAGGAGAAGTCAGCTTTGAAACCAAAAGGGCTTGTTGTCAAGTTTTGTGCATATATTACTGGAAGTTGTACCAGGAGATTAAAAATCAAAATTAATAGGAGCCATTAAGCAGCTTCCTTGATAAAAATGCACGTTGCATTGGGGTGGTGTGGAAACCGGTCTGAATGCTGAGCCTTTTAGGATCTGCGGGACACGACTCGCATGCAGAGCAGCCACCTTTGGGTAACACTTACATGCCTGGATTTTGACTTCATGGTTTTAAAAAAACCCAATGTGTGTGTAGTGGCTGTGTCTGTGTTTCAGAGACAGTTTTGCATCCAAAATCTCTGCCACTTTGGGAAATGGTGCCGCAGCATCACGTGCTGCCCTGGGATGCGGAGCATCTCCCGGGGCATGGCAGCTTGATCTGCCCCTATGCCTGCCCTGGGGTTGCAGTGGTGGCTGGTCCCTGGCAGGACCCAGAATGGGAGAGGTGAGGAGGTGTGAAATGGGAATGGATGAGCCTTGTTTGAGAGGCCAGATGTTCACAGGTGGAATTAACATGGAGGTTCAGGACTGGGGGTCCAGGATGGCTCCATCGTAGCAGCGACAGGGAAGCAGGAGCACGGCTGTTACACCATAAGTGGGGTGTGGATCAGTCACAGCCTTGCTCTGGTGCTACTTTGGCAGGTCCCGCTGGAGGAGGTCAAGGTGGAGCAGCCACCGATCCAGCAGGACTCGAGTCCTCCAAGGACCCACATGCCCCACAGCTCCCAGACCTGCGTCCGGCCCCAGCCCTGGGGGGGTCGTGGCTGTGGTGATTTGCCATCTCCCGAGCTGGTGGCCACCATCAGTAAAATGGGGAATTACTGGTTTTAGTGATAATCCTGGTCTAATCCCCCAACCTTGATACACTCCTGCGTAATCCTCACTCACACTGATTTCGTTTGGGCTCCTTGTGGCAGTGGGGATTATTTGAGCAAGCAGCAGTTGCAGGATAAGGCCCTGTTGGTTTCAGATATGCTTTTTACTACCTGGAAAGCGTTCTCCTAACTGTAGGAAATGGTTTTCTAAGCACAATAGAGCAATTTTCATTTCAGGCGACACCGG